TGGCTCAGGAGGTTTGCCCTCGAAAGAGCTTCACATGCTGGCATCATTCCCACAGGAAATTCACACGGGTCCCTCTGCGATGTGCCGGCAGGGGGGAAAGAAAACCTCAGCAGACAACTTGAACCTTAGCCTTAGCCTCCAGACTAGACCTCACCGACTTCCTCCGCCAAACTGCAATCCTTTTTGCAAAGCCTGTAATTATCTTATGAATAGCACCGTCATAGCGCATTCTCAGTGTTGCCTGATGTATGCAAATACTTAATACAGACCATATATTTTGCAGCCCCGTCTCCGTGCTTTCATTACCCTGAGAACCGCCCTTCAAGATCCCCAGGCAAGTTGCCCAGGCCTCTGTCAACCTCAGAGAGGCACTGTTTTTCTGGTTCCTCAAGCCCCGCCCCCAAGGACAGATAATTGGCAGTGGCCAGCACATGGTCATGCCTGGGTTGGAAGGTACTTGCTTCTATTGTGCACACTGTAACAATGTGTATTGTGTAGCTTGTACAATGTGTACGTTGGGCCGCTAGCCAGAGGTCGGCTGTTGGAACCCACCAGCCACTTCACAGGAGAAACATAAGGTGCTCTGCTTCCCTACAGGTTGGTAGCCTCAGAAACCCCAATGGGCAGTTCTGCTCTGTCCTAATGGGTTACTACAAGTCAGAACTGACTGGACAGCAGTGACTTTGGGGCGGGGGTAGTGTACAAGGGCAGAGGTAGGAAGGTGGGGCACAACCTGGCTGGGTCTTGCGCTACACTGATTTCCAAAGCGCTGGGGTCCCCAGAGACCCTTGCAGAGAAGGAACTAAGAGTCAGTCCTATGAGAGCTTGCAGAAGCCCCTGCTTCCTGCTTTCCCAGGTGCATCTAGAACAATCTAGCTGGCTTCCTACACCGGGAAACACACACACACACACACACACCTTATTTGGGGGAGGAGTGGGGAAAGGGGCTAGGGCTGGTGGCCATAACACGATTTTCTTTTGACAAGAGGAACTTGGGCTCTGTGAACTTCCAAACACTACCAAAATGAACTCAGAAAGTGAAAGAAACTGCTCTTTCATTTTACCCTAGCTCCTCTGCAGAGTGGATGGCTGGTACCACTCAGCCAGGTTATATTCTTTGAGAATATTTCCTAACATCCACACTTTCCTAACAATAAAAATGGGCTCTACCGTAATAGCTTCCTGCTACAGTTTTCTTTTCTATTCTATTTTTTTCTATTAATAATACAGCTCAGCCATTTTCCCATGCCGGTGCAAAAGCTCCCGCCTTATTGGCTTCAGCATATTTCATGTCGAAATGACTGCCAAAACTGAGGATGAGCACTCCCACCCCTTACATTTTCAACATTTCAAAAAACAAACAACCCCCCTCCCCCGCTGTAATAGACTTTCTTTGCTCCCATAACTTTTTAGGTGCGTATATCTCTGTAGGATAGATTCCTAGAAGCCAGTGGGATTCCCGGCCTGATCTCACTCTCAGGCCCTGTGACCGTGTCCTGGCCTTTTGGGGATAATCTTTTGCCTCATTTGACACCCCCCTCCCCTGCCGCCTCTGACTTGATTTCTCAGGGCTGGAAAAGGTTCCGATCTTTCTCTTCGGAGTCACCACCTCCCCCACCCCATAGATCTCCATTTGGTGGTCCTCAGAATAGGAGCGTCATCTGGTGGGGACCACATAGTTCCCTGGAACTTACAGAGTAAGACTGTACCTCGCAAAGACATGCCCACGGATAACAGATCAACGGACTCAGACACATAAGGACATGCACAAAGGAGCTTCACAAAGTTTGTGGGGAATTTGGAACCAAAAGATACTGGAATCTTCCCATGGACTTTTTGAAGCTCCCTGCTCATGGTCATTCATGGAGCTTCATGGAGTTCAAAAATGACAAATTCTTTTAGTTTCACGTCTCCAGCTGTTAACTGGAAGGTCGGTGGTTTGAACCCCCCAGCCACTCTGCAGGAGAAAGATGAGGCAATCTGCATCTGTCAAGATTACAGGCTAGTCCTATGGGGCATTTCTACTGTGTCCTGAAGGGTTGCTCTGAGCTGGCATCTACTTGACGGCAATGGATTTAAGGGCCATTCAGAGCATGGAGGTGCTCTGTGGCGAAGCCTGAACTCCTACTCCAGTCATAGGGTGGGCTGAGCTGTCACTTTCCCTACCCCAGGCCTAACCTGGACTGACCCCTGAGCAGGAGTCCATGTGTGGGTGGGGCCCTGGGGGCCAACTCCTGGGTTCCACTTCCTGATCTTCTGAAAATCACTTTTGCCTCTGTGACTGTCAATTTCTCGTTCCCAAAATGCCTGCTCCTTTCTTTCTCCATCCAAGGCTAATGATCGCTTTGAACATAATGTCACTTTCTGGGCACAGGCAGCAAGGAAGGCCTCTTCCTCATGTTTAGAACAGGCGCCTCTTCCCTCCGGGTTCCCACCTTCCTGGAGGCTAGCTAGCTTCTAAGGTCCCTTTTGTTTACTATAGGGTGTGAGAGTCCAGAGGGTTTGGGGAGGTGGCTCCCTCACAGGTGGCAGAGATTAATTGGGCTCTGGTGAGCTCACTCCAGGGACCCAGTAAGTAGCAAAGGCAAGTTCTCTCAGAGGTGTTTAAGGTCTTGAGTGGCAGGGGGACTCTTAGAGATGGGGAGAAAGCCCAAGTTGAAAACAACTGAGTTGGTAAACGAGAGACATCCAGGGCAGGGGTGCGGTGTTCAGCTACAGGGCTCACTGCATCCTATGGATGGTTGGGGGTGGGGGGTGGGAGTAGGTATAGAATGAACCAGCCCAGCGCCTTGCTTTTGGATTCTTTTGTGGAACCTTCTGTTGGCTTTAGCTGCTATTTCCCCGAATCATTTTTCTTTCCCACCTTTACCGGCCTTCCTTCTTGGTCAGCAGTCTTCCTTGGGGTGTCCCTGAGGTTGTGACTCAGAGAAGGCAGTGGGGAGCTGGGTGGACAAGGAGGCCAAGAAGCTCCCCTTTCACACAGGAGCAAGGGGGAGTCACAGGCACCAAGGTTTCAGAGGTCCTTAAAGACTCGGGTAGGTTCTGGCTTAGTCACACCCTGGCCAAGCCAAAGACCGTCCAAGGTCAGGTTGGGGCTCTTCAGTGGTGAATAGAAGGGAGACTTACTGAGCTTTAAACAGGTTGTGTGTGCGTGTGAGGGGTGGTGGTGGAATGAAAAGATAATGGAGTTTCCCTCCCAAGCATTTTGAACCTTTGTATATCTCTCCTTTGGAAAAGCCCTGCTTCTAACCTAACCAGGTGTCCAGAATACAGAGTGTGGGAAGAAGCCCTGGCTGGGACCCCGCTCCATCACTCACCTGCTACATGGCCTTAGACTAGTCATTCCTGGTCTTCGTTTCCTTGTCTGCACAAGGAGCGTCATGAGCTGCCCAGCTGACTCCAGAACCCGAGACTGTGTTTTGAAAAGTACGGCACCTCATGTAAATGGGAGGATTTGCACGATGAGTGCGGGCGCCGCTGGCTGTCCCTCAGAACCGAGAACAAGTCCAATCAGGGAGTTCTTGATTCATAGCTGACTCATCTGGCAGCAGGCTAGTGGCATAACCTTGGTCATTTGGTAACTTTCCTTGAATCCTGCCAGTCTCTGGTGCAGATAAACCGGCAGGAGCCTCCTTAGGGAATGTGTATGTCATCTGGAATACTAAGAGGCTGCCAGCCCATGGTGGCCCTTTCCACCAAGGGAGTTTTACTGCAGACGCTGGCGACTGGAAATGCAAGCCCTCCTTAGCCCCATTTTACAGATTCAACCACCTACCCAGCCGCCTTCAGTCGTTCACAGGCAGAGTGGGGTCTTCAACCAGCACTCCAGCTGCCCGGTCTTCTGCCCCTCGAGTTTTCTCAGCTCCCAGGGACATTAACCTATGCCTTCCCACAGCACGATGAGCCCAGAGCCTCTGCTTAGCCACCTCCTTCCTTCACCAAGGCGAGATAAGGGGGGCAGGAGGGCCCAAGGAAGCCACCTGCCTGTATTCTTACCTATTCCCATCCTTCTCACTCTCAGCCCCAGCCTCAAAACCCTGGACCACCACTTGACCCTTAGGTCTGAAGCGCCGGGACTATCCGGCTGTTCACCCCAGCTCCGACCGCAAAGCAGAGTAGATCACCTCTCCGTTGGCAGGTTGGAGAAAGAGTCCCTAGACATATGAGAAGGTTCCAAAGAGGGCCCCTCTGTGCCTGTGCTGATGCTGGAGAGACTCCTGGAATCCCACCTCGGGCAGCCACCTCCAAAGGCCATTCAATGGGCGTTTGCTTGCTTTGTGGGTGAGTCAGTGTCAAAGCCACACGGAGTAGAGGAGCGGGCACGGCTACATTTAAGATGGTGCTTCTCCCCTCCCCAGGGCTGAGGCCACCCCCCAAAGCACTCGATCCCCACTCAGAGGGGCTGGGGCTGGGACCGCAACCCTGCCCCACCACACCCAGATGCCTATGGGGACAGGAAAGAGGGCAGAGGGAGCCCAGGGGGGTGGCTCAGGACCCCCTTCTTCACTTCTGCTCTCTGCCAACAGGAGACCCCAGCTGGCCCCCGCCAGGCCAGTGATGGGCTAACCCGGGAGTCAACCTCGGAGTGGGGGCGGGGGGGAAAGACCTGAGTGGGCTTCCGAGACCCGTGGATGCAACAGCTGGGGCCACGAAGTTACCTTGCAGACAAAGGTGGGAGGTGGCAGGGGGGGTGATGGGTGGGGCACCCTCCCAGACCAGGCCTCTTCCACTTGCCCAGGGTAGGGGGGGCTCTCGGTTGCCTCTGTCAGGGAAGAAAAGTTACTGCTGACAGTTGTCCCCTGAGCACCCAGAAGGCCCCAAACTGAGATCCAAGCCCCACCCCACCCCGGACCCCAGGAGACGGCGGTTCGAACCCCACCTGGAACAACGATGTGCGCACCCTGCCTGCTTGGAGCATCCTCCTTCCCTTCCAAAGCAGGTGTCCCCCTCGCCCCGGGGGTGGGGGGCTGATGGGCACCCAAGTTGGGATCTTTACTGACCGTCTGAGTCGAAATGCTTCCAGATTTCCAGGAACTGGGACGCCGTCAGCTCGGCGAGGTGCAGGTACGGGGGCTGCTGAGGCGGACCAGCCATGGCGCGCCGCTGGGAGACCTCGGGGTGCACAGCGCTTGCTCGCTCGCTCTCGCTGGGCACAGGCTGGGCTCCCGCTCGCTCTTTCGCTCGCTCGCGTCTCGGCCGGTGCTGCGCGCCACGCCGCCTTTATATGCGCTCGGAGGCTGCGCCCGCGCCGGGCCGCCGGCAGGGGGCGCGCGGGCCCAGAGAATCGCGCCTCCCTCCGCCCGCGGGGCGCGGGCCGGGGCCGATCTGAGCCTGGGGTCCTGGGGCGCGGCACCCGGAGGCGCCGCTCGCCGGGCAAGGGAGACCCGGGGGCAGCGTGGCCGTTCTTCTCGCTGCTCTCCGAGCCTCCTGGGGGTTGCAAACCCAAACCCACTGCCGTCGAGTTCCTTTGCACTCACAGCGACCCTTAGGACGGAGAAGAGCCGCTCCTCTGGGTGGTTGAGGTGGTGGTGGGGGCTCCCAAGGTTGTGATTGTTACAGCACGCGACTGCCACACCTGTCTGCCATTTGTTTTTCCCGTGGCGATGCTGGTGAGTTGGAACGGCTTGCAGCGGAGTGCTTTAAGGCCTTCTCAGTCCGAAGCGAGGGCGGCTGCAATAGCAGTTGCACTAGCAATGCACATCTCCCACGTATGAGCATCCTAATGCACTAGGCCCCTGCCCCATTCATCGGACGTTTCCACCCTTCGGATGAAGGACTGCGAGTTCAAAATGCCCAAAGGACCCCACTCTCTTCCCACAGGAGCCACAAGGCCCCTCAGTGGGACTTCCTTTGGGAGGATCTGGATGGCAATAAGTGGAGAGGGCCTCCCCCCACTTTTCCTGGGGACCACCCTGCACCCCTGGACTCCTGCCCCACCAGGACAGCTTTCAGACATTTGTCCTGAGGTGACAGAAGGCATCCTGCCCTGCCTGGTCCTCAAGCACACCCAGTGGGCAGAGGAGGTCCAACTCTCAGCAAAGGATGTTTGGAGCTAGTTTGAACGGAGGAGAGAAGCATCCACAGCCGGAGCCCCGCAGGGCAGGACTCCCGGAGCCGGAGGCCGGCCACACTCTGGTGGCCTGGTGCCGGCCTTGTGGATGCCTTCTTCTGTGTCGGCTTCATCCCTCCTGCTCCCTCCCCGCACTGTACTGGGGGGAGAAAAATTGATGCTCATTAACATGTGCTAATGAGTGTGAGCTGAACTATCTTCCAAAGGGAGAGCGACAGAGAAGGAGGTAAGTGAGAATCCGAAGGAGGTCGTGGAGAGAACTACCTGAGACCCAGGAGACCGCGAGGGGGGAGGTTGTCCCTCAGGGGGAGGGGAGGGCCTGGAGGGAGTATGAGAGGGCCAAGGCAGAGCTGGGGTTCCAAAAGTCCTTGGTTACAGGGCCCAGGACTCACGTGTCTACTCTAGAGGTGCTTGTAGGAACGGACCGGGAGAGAAACGCAGTGGCAGTCTGGCCGGAGAGGCTGGTTACCTTTTGTGTCAGAGATGTCGTGGTGGTGATGGGTGGTGGAAGAGAGAGTCCTGGGCTGAGCCCTAATCCAGAGCCGCTGGGGTGCTCCTGCCTGGTTTGGGGACACTACCTCCTTCTCTCTTGGGAGAAAGCTGGCCCTTGACTTTCTGAAGAACAGAACAGAAAGATGCGCAGTCCCATGCCATCCTCATGACGGATGTTGAGGCCGTGGCTCCACCAGGAGGCTCATCTTCCAGCCCAATAGTCAGCACCCTGTTGTCTTCCATAGGGATTTTCATTGGCTAATTTATTGAAAATAAATGGCTAGGTCTGTCTTTCTACTGCTGAAACCTGTCAACCAGGGGTGACCCTGGCAGTCTTTGAGATCCCTTTGGTATATCGCCCAGCATCCCAGTAGCCGAAGCTACCACAGTACCACACACTGAAATGTGGGTGGCAGCCCCTTTCTGCCCCCTGGAGACAGAATGGCTCAGAGTGAGTGAGAACCCAGCTGCTTGCGTTCAGATCCTGGAATAAGCTGTGTGGCTTCACGCAAAGGATGCGACCTATCTGGGCGTTAGCTTTTCTCTTCTGCAAAATGGGAATGCGAGCCTTTATCCCATCAGGATATTCTGAGGGTGAAATGAGCTGGTGTTCGCACTCATTGCTTGGTCTTTGGGGCTCCCACTACCCTTCACAAGCCAGCAATCAGCAATGAGCTTGGCAAGAAGTTCCTGAGCAGCATCCTTTTCCCGGGCAGACGGAGGCCGGCTCTGCTGTGCGACTTGACCTGGCAGGGGGTCAGACCAGCCCCTGGACTCCTCTGCCATCTGCCGCCCTGGCCCCTGTCACCCGTCCATAGGCAGAAAGCGTACCCCTGGGAGCTCTCAAGACCCAAACCAGGGTCTCTTTGCTGCTGTGCCTTTTCTTTGAGGAAAAGAGGAGACACCTGCTTTCTGCTTTTCAGAGCTGCCAGGACAGAGGGAGGATATCAGCCCGATGGGGGCGGTCCTGGGAGTAGCTGCAGGGTCAACTAGATGCCCTCCAAACTCGGCCCTTTCCAAACACGCATCGGTGCGTTATCCGAAGTGCATGGGTGGAGACTCTTTCTGGAAGGCCCATCCCTGGCTTTCTCAGACACAGGCTTGGGGGAGGCCTAAAGATCGCAAGCAATTCCCTGTCCCCCTTGACGCCAGGCTGAGTCCTGCAGAAGCAGTTCTAGCTTGGGAGTTACAAATCTCTGTTCCAGAATCAGTCAGACAGGGGTCCAATACCCACCTACAGGCTGTAAGACCTCAGGCAAATTAGTTAACCTCTTGAGCGTTAATAAAAGTCAAGGGAATGGTCATACTATTAGGGTTACAAAGTCACTGTAAGAACCAGAAATCATGCAATCACGGGGTTCATTAGTAAAAAGCCTGGCAGTGGTAAGTGCTTAATTAAAAGATCGTGACTGTTCAATTTAGCTTAACTAGTTAAAGAGGTCTGCCTTGGGCCCTGTGCTCTTTCAAGGTCTATCTGTCTGCGATCAAAGTGATGAGACCAACGGGAAAGGTTCGATGAGACTCTTAGGGGCCGTGAGTCCTGTCAGTGAGGAAGGAATGACTCAGACAGGAGACTGAGAGGGCTGTGCACCTCGAAGACTGTGATCAGGTCACTGAACTGGACGTCTTGAGGCTATTGACTTGGTGCATGTGTTTTGTTGTTGTGTATATTCTCAACAACAGCAACGATAATCAAGAGAAACATTTTGAAAGAGCCACAGCAAACTCACTGAGTTGATGTCGACTCACAGCAACCCTGTAGAACTGCCCCTGTGAGCTTCCGAGACGGTGATGGTTTTAAAAGATAGTTATTATTCATATGGGATGGTAGGAGGGGTTTTTCCTGGCTGTTGTGATGTGGTGGCGCTTAGAGCTACCCTTGGAGACAAAAGGGACGTCAAAGAAAAGCAAATCAGAAGCCAAACCCAGCTCCTGGAAATGTTTCTTCTGGTTGTTGCTTCTTCAATCTTGGTGATGGTCAGGCCTGGCTACCGAGGCTGCCGGAATGCTGGCCTTGCTTCCCAGAGAGGAGGATGAAAGGGAGGCAGGAGCCCAGCAGTTTCCATGGAAACGGATGGAGGAGGGAGAATTGAGAGTCCAGAGGAACCCAGAGGTAGAAGCAGGACTTTTGAGTAACTCAGTCTGAGGTTTGAGAGGCTGTAGACAAAATGCTCCCCTCTGCACAAAGGCGTGAGGTCCCCCGGATAACAGCAGGGGTGGAATAATAGCATCTGTGGGCTGTCGAGAGACCTCCTTCCTCTGGTGGCTGGGGCACAGTTGAGAACTCAGGATCCATAATCCTACAGGTGCCATTCAGCAAACAGTTCCACGTTTTTTTGGCAGTTCTGCCACCTGATGGCCGGGTGACCCCATGCAAGGTGTCCATGCTCTGAGTTTTGATCCCCTCATTGGTAAAATGAGAATAATTCTAGTAGCTACTTTGTATGGCTTTTGTGATCATAAGTGAGGTAGAAGGTTTAGAAAAATGTGACCCAGGGCCTGTATCTGAAGGTAGCCAAATTACAAGGTGAAAGGTACAGTCTTCCAGCCTACTAACCAGTTCAGCGGTCTCCACAAATCACCCTTAGGCTTAAGGATTCTCCAGAAGGACTGATGGAAAGCTTTGATACTGACGGTCATGTTTATTACAGGGAAAGGAAACCACTTGGAAGCAGCCAGAGGAAGAGACAAGGGCTAGACTCTGGGAGGCTTTCAGGCAATGTCCCCATCTCCAGCATGTCTGACTCTCTCAGGATCGATGTGTTATTAGGTTCACTGCAAAGATAAACTGAGACCAGGCCAGAGAGAAGGGAAAGGAGAAGTTTATTCTGTGCTTCCAGGCGGTATTCACAGGCTCCAGCAAGGAGTCCGTGAAGTCCTTGTAGGGAGGGAGGGGAGAGCAGAGAGGGAGAGAGAGATGGTAGCAGCTGCAGGTGGGTAAGCAAGGAGGGAGCGGGTAGAAGTTGCAGCTGCAGGGGCTTAAGCCATCTCCATCCATGAAATTCTGAGGTAGGGTGGTGTCTTGATTGTTCAGAGAGGTGATGGCTCATTGTCCTGGAGCCCTTTCGAAGCTAGCCGTCTCAGGCCAATGGTCTGATAAGGGCAGGTGTGGCTGTTCCTAATGTCCTCCGACTGGTACCTGACCCAACACGTATAACACACATGGAGTATTGCCAATCTGAGTGTGTCCTGGGGTGTCATTACATAAGCATGACTGATGGATTGAGTCCCTATATGGTTCAACTCAATCTCCTGCAGGCCCCTCCCTGGACATTGCCCACATGGCCCAAGGAACCCACCTTGAATTACTTTGTGAGGACAAATTACCAGGCATGGTTCCAAAGACCCACCTTGAGTTACAAAGATAGTCCCGGGACTCCAGGAATGCTAAGGGTTTAGTGGTTACCTCCCAGGAGCCAGGGACGAACACCAGACCTCACGTTACATGAGGTCAGATGTCTTATGGCCCAGCCTGGAACATAATAAGCATCATATGTTATTGCAGGTGAGAAAACTGAAGGCAAGTGGTGGAAAGTGTAATCAGTGTTGCCCATCCTCTCTGGCCACAGTGATTGGTTCAGGGATAGGCATGTGACACATTCCAT